AATTTCTACATACTGTTCCAAACCATTTCACTAAAACTATTACCTCGCAACGCTGATAACTGTCATTCGACTTACGAATGCACTAGCCGGTCGTCAGGGTCAGCTTCAATACGAAAAACGACGCCACAACGCACCACGCACAGTTCACACGCTACGTGATACATGTTCCACGGACACCGGTACTCACCGAGTCGGCAGTGATGAAGAAGTTCCACGGCAGAAGCGTGCCCATTCCCAGTAGGTAGAAGATGTAGTATATGATCTTCGGGCTGCGGCACACGCACAGACAACTGTCAGAAGGCATCGGCTGCACAAATCAGTAGCATCATGAAACCAATGGCAATCGCAATTGCACCATAATCATATAAACTTTTAACCGTTTACCCGATGACTGTTACCGAAAGCCATTTTATGTAACTGCCGTCTGCTATAAAACATATTGTGATCAACAATGAAACATAAACGATCGTTTATGCATGAATCATGGGTAGCAGGATCAGCGTTGACCGGCAACAGCGTTATTCTCCGTATACCCAACCTGAGAACCCCTCCTCCTGACGTCACTGAGTACTGTGTCACTGCACTATCCACTCTCGTCTCTTCCACTTCACCATCTAACTCCTTGTGACCTTCTCCTTGAAGCGTCATCCCTCTTACAGGTCACAACTCACAAGCACTCATAGGACAGCTACCAAGGAGAAACACCAGAGAGGAACACTGCACTGGATAGAACACGGAGGACGCTCTCCCAGTCTACCCCCGTCCAGGCCGGGGAGCCTCAATGATCTACCGACCACCGGCGGCGCTCGACATGCGTGCTCATGAGCAGGACATACGCCGGAGACGCTGGTCGTCGGTCGATGATGGATAGTCAGTAGCCAGCTGAGCGGGGAGCGGTATTACACGATACTACACGGTATTAGACGATACAGGAGCAGGACAGTTCGGTGCAGGACAGAGGAGTAGGAGGGACCGGGCTCTGTGCTCCAGGGCAACAGGTAAGATACGGACTACGTGTAGTGTAGACTGTATGTAGGTATGTGCTCACTTTCAGGATACAATCGAAGGCGGCGGATTGAACATTGGCTTATACGTGCGTGTGAATTTTGGAGGGAAGCTGGATCTAACGATTGATAGGAGACAGGAGACCGTTTCGTTATGTTTTTACATACCTATTGACTTGTTCAGCATGAACGTCACGCGGTAATAACTCAAAAACTGATAAGAAAAGGAAAAAAAAAGACTAGCACTTGCGACCTTTCGGCAAGATCTTCAAACCATTAGATTCGACAATGGTATGTTGACGGCTATCAGTATCCAAGGCTCCGACAAACGAAGCCAATATTGTGCAACACACACCAGCGGAGGAAGCACCGCTGCTCGCAAAAACGTCTCAAACTTAATCCAGGTATCATATTTCACCATCTAATCGCCATCCGAGCGAAATCGATACCAATTACCGTCTGCATTCTGATAGGTGATACCGATATGCATGCGTCGCATTTCTAACATGAGGAAACATCGGAAGGATCTATGTAATGTAGGAATAGGTCATTTTGCTGGAGCGTCTGATGTTTGCTGTTAAGTGTGCTGTGGCAGTATCGTCTGCAAATTGGCAGAAGGAACAAAACATGAATGAACCAATTCCATTCAGTCGAATGTTGTGACTTGGGAGACTTTGCAATTTAGACATATCGAAGTATTATCTTCTTTATGGTCAATAATCGTGCTGAAAAATAATAAAATATTCCATCGGCACTATACATTCCGGATTTCACTGTCTGTTGTCTTGCCTGTTCGCAGCTGTCTACCGACCACTGCGCCGTGCTCTCTGAGAAAGTGTAAAGAAAAGGGAAATGAATGTTGGATACACAAATAATTGTTTCGTCAGGGCATACACATATATTAGATTCCCTTATGGAGTATGCGGCTTTCAAAGCCTGAGCGTGAATTGAGCCACCCTGGACAGGTCCCAGAGGGACAGAGCGCCATTACTGAGGGGTCATCGTCACCGACCCTATACACAGAGGGTACGGCAACTGACCCTGCGGCCTGCGGTAGACGGCATGTGACACTGTATTTATACCATACCAACGGGACGGAGTGCCATTACCGAGGGAACGCTGACCCCAGGGAGTCGGAGACTTATCTCAACCGTAGCCGTGTGTACTGCGTATTAAATATACCACCATGGAGGGGTCGCCGTCCGCATACCCATAGAGTCTGACCTCCCCAGCGCACGGTGTAGGTATACCATGTGTGCAGCCCGCAGTGTTTACAGGACTGACTGCTAGCTCTCCAGCCAGGCTGTGACTGTGCTGAGGGACCTCGACAGGACTGCGGAGTTTGTATGTACAGACATGCTGTGTATGTATATGTAGAACGTGCAGTTATAGTTCAAGGAGTGGCTTTGTTCAAACGATCTGCACACGAAGGACAAACAATCGTCGTAGATCTCGATAGTGCGACCTGATGTGCATCCGCAGATCGAGGCTCGAGCTTACGTACTTTCTGATCTAATGTTTTTATTGCGCTCCATTTTTGCAAGAGATAGCCCACCTCATGGAACCGTAGTGTTTACGTTGCGAATTTACCACATGCCTTAATTGTTGACACTAGAGAAGCTCAAGAATGCCATAACGCGGAAGAGCATCTTTAAATTGCAGTTAGAAATGTACGGCCTTTATCGCCCAAACATATGAGCACGAGCATCGTAGCTAAGGTGTAGCTAAAATCATAGATGTAATATACAATATCAGATATCTATGGCTAAAATACCACGAAATGATTATTGTAAAACAATTGCATTGCATGTAGTTAGGACGTGAAAAAAGAGAGCCTTACTCCATATTGCATTCATGCCGATCAGTGACTGAAAAAGAGGGCAGTCCCGGATACATAATTCGCACATGTACTGTAATTCAGTGCTGCCTGGGCAGGACCCTCTGGAGAGGCCGCGAACATGTGCCGTAGCCGGGTAAAGGCTGGCCCCAGTACAAGACGGCGGCTGCTCCTGGGTCGGATTTAGGCAGCACTGACATTACAGAAGAAAAGGGAAAAGCTTTTCCTGACAATTTTGATTCATATTCACAAGCCGCAAATGCAGGATCTTTTGATGTCAGGTAATCATCTTGTTGAGACGAAAGTAAGTAAATCGTTCGGCAGGACAAGTCATGAAAGTGACCTAATTATAATGAGATAGCATAGCTCGGGTAAGATGCCTCTCACCCCGTATCCCAGAAAGGACTTTTGATATTGAAGGGAAACGGCCTGCTCACCTAACAGGGATAAAAACATTAAACAAAAATGATGCCGCGGTATCAAATGAAGAAACTTAAGCCTTCATACTCAAAATAATGCCGACCATCGTCCACACAACGAAACTATGATTGCAAGCACTTTTTGAGCTCATAAGTTAGAGTACAAGTAAACGAAAGTCTGATCAAAACTTCAACACGACAAATGTCGGACACACACAGCACCAGTCTAAAGAACCCGTATCACAGAATATCCGAGAACAGAACAACAGGGAACAGTAAATCAGAAAACAACTAACATCAGAAAACATATAATCGGAGAAAAACATCATAGAACATAACATCAGCGAACATAACACCAGAGGACAGAACATCAGAGAACAGAAAACCACGGAGAACAAAACACGTTTTACCCACGTGAGAGGTAATGGATAGCACACTTACGCATCAGGCTCCACGTGAGTTTCGATCATTGACGCCTCGACCTCCTTGGAGCTGAGGTGCTGCGGCGAGCCGGCACCGTTACGGTCGTCGTTGAGTGCCACATCCTCCTGTGACCCGGCCCCCATGGCGGCTTCCCGTCGTCACTGCAGAAGTCGTCGGAGCGTCTTCGTCGACGACCGTCGACGATTGGGCACGGGGCGCGAGTGACGCCCGGGGCGACAGGCCGCCGGCCGCGCCGCGGGGGGCTCGTCTCCGCCGGCAGCGACACGCGGCGGGAGCCGCTGGAAACAGGCGGTCGCGCGCGCAGGGGCTCCATGCCCGGAGGGTATGTGAAGGTCGCCCGGCGCGGCGCTGGAGGCGCGCTGTCCAGGGGGCGGTGCCATATCGCTGACCAGAGCTTATAGGAAGAGTTGTGGTATGGAGGTTACGTCATGCAGTTACGCCTCTTTCTGAAGGGCTGGTATGGTATCGTCGAAAATATGTTACCGACTTTGCATATTGACTGGAAGCGTATTTCTCATTTGTCAGTCGAAAACAAAAACAAAAGATAGCCCCAGCGGTAGGCGGAAGTGCGAGCAATAAAACTCTGGACGATTCTACGGAAATCAAATAAATACACACGGGTCGGGGTCGCCAATTTTTACCAGCTTTTGTAATAAGTGAGAGGGAGACGGAGGAGGAGATATAATGCCATTGGTGCTTCTACACCGGGCCTGCTCAAACGGCCCTGCATGTCTAAGGGGCTTCGAGTGGACACAGTGCCCCGGCAGGCGGCACAACTTCCCAGTTTCATTAGCTAAGTGATGGATATGGACGAGCCAGGTAGGTACGTCAATTCTAACTGAGCCATCAGTCAATTTTTGATCTTATCACTTTTATCATTAGTCCTTCCGGCCTTTGTCTACGCGGTGCCATTCAGCGTAATGACATACATGGTACGCCAATTGGAAACGGAATATCGCGAAAGAATACGTGTAGGTGTGTGTGTGCGTTATGTTAGCTCCTCCGTGAACACATTTTTCGTAAGCTGCTGGATGTTTGACCTGTGAAATTACTCTGACACGGCTCGTTCACCAACTGTTTAGAAATAAATCCTAAAATCGATACAGGCTCCAGTTTTGACTGACGACACCTTGATAACCGCAGATAGCACTGGCGGGCGAAGCGCTCTATATCGATCGTATACTCAGCAAACAACCTTATACTAACAACCGAAGCGATAACATTAACGTTCGCACTGCTGTAGTACACGTAAAAGTACACCGCGACTTCATCCATAAAACTTATAAAACAGAAGCCCAGTAGCCGATTAACTGTATTCGCTTTTTTTCGGCGAAAACCAAACATCTGATGACACACAAGTACACGATGAATGACGATGGTAGGGTCACGACAGCAGGACAGAGCTTCCAGCAGACCTAGGGATAACGTGAGAGGTCTGGGGGCTGACGACACTGCCAAATCGATGCGGCAAAGCTCTCTGGACTTATGGAGCCGGTTACGTCAGTCAGAGTCTAACCGTTCTGGAGCTTCTGGAAAACGCTGAATGAAATGCCAGCATTTGGTCAATATGTGGCAGAGTTTGTCTATGAAACCTTTGAGAGGAATTTTGCGCATGTATCAAAGATCAGAACGAGAACGCATCAATGAACATTTTCACGCGATGTAGGAATATTCACTTCCCAGCTTTCTAGGATTGGGTGTTTTTAGCCTGAGCCCGTAAGCACAAACGTCTCCTAGCACTGTTAGTGGTTTTGTGTAACGTAAGACTGTTACACAAAACCACAGCTCCCCTTAGATCTGGCGATAGTATTCAGCTGAGACACCATTTGGTTCACTTGGGGTGGTATGTGCGGCTTGGACCAAAGCGTGTCATTCACAGCTCCACGGCACCAGCGACATCAGATAGGCCGACTGGTGTAAGTAGGTCCGGGCAGCGTGCATCCGGGCAACTATCACACCGCACAGGCTCCGTCAAAGTCCCCTCTCAGCTTCACCGCCAGAGAACTCCCATTCAGCGAGCACTCGAGCTGCTGTGCCGGGCTGACCGCTAGTGACCCGTCAGCTATCGGGACGAAGAATGATGGCAATGGTAGCGGGGTTCTGGATCGCGCAAGACCACTCCGCCCTTCGTATGTCACACTGTATGCCACACGACCGCTGTTCTCCTCTAGAAATCGCCTGTCGGTTGAGACGAAACTGTCGCACAGTTTGCAGCTGTGAGATCCGTTCAACAGCGATACACACCACATGAGCCGCTCTGATGACACGAATTAGACACAACACGCCGCATGTTCTGCTGGACTGAGGCTAATAAAGATACACGTCGTGGACGAGCATCACAACAGTCCGAACGCAGCTCGCTCCTTTTGCTTCTTTCGGACAACATCGATCTGCCGGTCGCGCCACTGGCTCTTCCTCAGCTTGATCGGTCTGCTGCCCACGTACTTTCCTACAGGGGAGCACGTTACGGGTCAGATGGGCAGGGGCCAGAAACGATGGATCATCTATTAACTTGAAAACAGTGTGTTAGCACGATAAAAAAACAAGTTGATAACAGCCAGAAGAGCTTATGTGAACAAGTTGGCAACCTGTAAAGGAAAGCAATAAGTTGTCTGAAACGTTAGAGCGTATGGATTAAAACATGCACGATTATTTTATCCGCATGAAACCTGAAGCTATGGAAGCCATGAACGCAAGCAACAAAAAAAGCTTTAAAACATCTTGTTATCACGCAGGGAGCAAAATTCGTAAGATCAGTTGGTAGTTCTGCAGATATCATCTTTCAAAAGGGAATATTAAAACAAAAATCCTATTTGTCAGAAAAAATTCAGATGAGGAATGAGGCAAAGGTTAAACTTACGATTTATGTTATTTCAAGCCAGGTTGCAGCTCTCGGTAAAAATGAATAAAAAGCAATACGAGAACAACACATGGTGCAAATTAGGGATAAAAAAATAGAGCCAGTGTACTTCTCTAATCCTAACCCAGACATAAAGCCCCATTAAGACGGCAAACTTATGCGCATGCTCAGTGCTCACCACGTGCATTCCAAGCGAGCCCCGTTATCCACAAAGCTGCAGCATCCACCAGCCCAATTACGTACCAATATCAACTATCCAATATCCACGAAGGCTAAAATCCTTCTTGCAGTGCATGCACATCACCAGTCCCGCCAAGTAATCGTTAAAACTATTTCACGACACAGACAATTTGATCCGAGGATGGAAGAATAACCTTAGTCATAAATCAAGAACTGTGAATTTAGGTCTCAGATAAGACGACTGTTTCAAAGAGTTCCCTGTTTTGTCACCAGATGGCAGCCTGATCGGCGCCTGTAACTATGCTGTGCCGCACTGCCAGAATTAATCCCCATTCCTGCCACCAGGGGGTAGTAGGATGAAAGGCTGGAACGTAAATGCGCGTCTCGTAATCTCGAATGCAGCACAGTTCCAGAACAAAAGAAGCATATCTTAAGATAAGACAGCCGTGTCCGCTGGACTCGTAAGCGGGACGACGTTGACGGCACACGGGGAGTTATTGCAACAGAAAGTTAGGTGGGTACGTCATCTGACGCATCCAGCAATATCTAATTAACGAGGCCACTTGACTGATCACTGGGCGGCCATCGCCCGGTCAAGAAATCTATATCGCCAGATGTGCTCGGTGTATGATGCAGAAAGCCGATACATGATATGAAACTTAAGCGTTGTACGTATATTATTATGTTGCTAGAATACATCAACTCATCGTATGTGCATGACGAAATCGGTGTCCTTGATTTGGGCATTGGGGCGCGCAGAAATGAAGTTATATGGCATCTATGCCAATCAGTCGTTGACTGCGGTCCACGTAAGCAAACTGACGCTATCCGGGACAGCTTCATGAACGGATAATTGTTTCAGCCAAGCTCAAAGAACCGACAATTTAGCGCAGGGGTCGGCAAATGGTGGGGCATGCCCCCTTTGGGGGTAATGGAGTCCTTTCGGTGGGGGTAATGAGGGATTCTGAGAAAGCCTATCTTTTTAGAGTTTGTAGCTCCAGTGATGGAGCCATCGTGACTGTTGCATCCCAGGGTTCAAAGATTAGCCCAGGCCAAAGGCACAGCAGTCAGTACACATTGATTAGATACCAAATTTCACGTACCTGTACGCCTCACCATCTCACCCCTCCGTACAGTCGTACAAAAGCAGCTGCAACTTTTGACCGTCGCCCGTCTGTTGGCGTTTCAACAGCCGCTAACGTAAGGGGGAGGAGTCGATCGGACCCCCGCGGCCTCTCGGACTCTGATATGGAGCTGTGCATAAAAAAGACGAGCGTGCTACCCATGACAATAGGAAGCCGCTGCTGCCCATTTTTAAGGTCCTTGGTCATTCCGTCTCATTCAAGAGGGCAATGACAAGTGTCGAGAAAATCGGGACCCGCTATAACTCCTTGAAGTTAGAGTTTATGGCACAAGATGATCTCCAGAAAAAGCTCATAAGCCAACGGTCATTATGGGTCCAGAGGCCAGTTTTACCAACAGAAAAACAGCCGCCTGCCGGAATTTTTGCCTAAAGATCGTTTCACATATGGAGCGTAAACGGTACAGCCCTATCCGCTTACGAGTCCATCGCGTTTACGCTCCGTATGTGAAGCGGTCTTGAGGCAAAAATTCCGGCAGGCGGTTATTTTTCTGTTGGTAAAACTGGTCTCAGGTCATGATATTTTCCGGGCTGGTAAAAAAATATGATGGGCTCGAGGGTACAATTTGGTCGTGATCCAATGCCTTTTACGTGAGCTTTTAACGAAAAACCACCCGCCGCCCCTACGTACAAGGGTTAACCCGGCAGTTGCTTGGGTATTTCGCCACCCACCGTTTGCTGGGGGGGGGGGGGGGCGTTAAACGCCCCCAGCCGATAACTCGAGAACCAATAGGCGCAGCGAAACGCACGAGGCGGCAAACGAAAGAACGCGACGAGACGCTTCAGATGAGTACTTTAAAGTTGAATTTTGAGGTCACAGGTCGGGTCAAGGTCAGGTCAAACACCTGAAATTGGGCTTTCAGTAGCATGGACTTCAGGACTTCGCAATGGGCGCCTCTCGTCATAAACTCTGTCAAAACGGTGCACAATCCATCATATAAAGTCTACAAGAGTGTCAGCTCCATGTAGGGGTCAGTCAAGCATAGGTCAGGGTCAAGGTCAGGTCAACCGGGTAGGCACATATCCCCGAAAATCAAAACTGATATTCGCAGCCTGTGACACATGTTTTATGGGTAATTTGGGGCGTAGAACACGATGGTGACATTCATTTTATCATATGTGTACGTGTTTGGCTCAAAAAGTTCAATTAAAGAAATGCATGTATCATGGTCATGAAGTAGTCACGAGAAATTGCCAAGATTCAGTTCAAGATTTTGGAAAATGCGGAACGATAATCAATAATCGAAGATAGCCATGTGATTGCTCATGGTATTGCCAGTCTAATGGCGTTTACGGCATGTCTGTATGTCTATTCTGTGATTTTATATGATTTTTTTTAACATATGTCGTTTTTGGTCGAAAACTCAGAAATCATGACGTCACTAAAACCTCGATATCTCAAAAATTTTCCGACCGATTTTTTCGAAACTTTGTCACAATAAATTTCAATCAATTCCCTACAGGTACCCAAAATTTGGCGCGCCTACGGCGCGCCGTTTTTATGGCCCGGCGAAAAAAGTGGGGGCGTTTAACGCCCCCCCCCCTCCCCAGCAACTCGCGGGTCAAATGGGATATAGCATAGGCGGCGGAACGGGAAGGGCACAGGGGCACCGTGCACCCTTTGATTTTTGCATTTTAACATTAGCCCTATGGGCGTTGCATGGAAAGAATGGGACCAAAAGTCAGCAGTGCCCCCGGCCTCCCCTCCCCCTTAATGGAAGGTGTTCCGCCGCTACTGGGATATAGGCATTAAATGTTTTGTGGAGGAAGTGTCATGTTTTAAACTTGATGCATTGGAAATGCACAAATACCCAAAGAGTTCCAGGACGGTATGGAATTTCAGTAAACTTGGTTGTGTCAGCAATGAGGTCTGGTAGGTGGGGGTAATGACCCTGCCTGGCGCCCAAAAAGGGGGCACGACCCCGAATGACCTGCCGACCACTGATTTAGCGGAAAAAGTTTAAGTGTCCAATGCTGATTCAGGATCAATTAATCATTTTCGTCTGGCAACACTCGCAAATGGACAATCGAGCAAGGAAGAATAAAGCAGATAAACCAAAACCACTAAATCACCTACAACAATATACCACAAACTGAAAACATCCGCATCCGTTACACGTAACTTGAGCAAGCGTACCCGACACCAACAAATCCGACATCCACCACCACAACGCATGCGCCCATTATACCCCTGCGTTCCTTCTCCCTGATTCCCTCATCTCACCATTCATCTCCTTCATGGCGCGTACGTAGTCGTCCGACTCGCGGAAGCTGATGAACCCGTAGCCCTTGGTCTTGTTGGAGCGCTTGTCGCGCACCACCTTGGCCTTGACGAAGGACGGGTAGACGGAAAAGTAGCGCGTAAGCACGTCCTCCGTCACGTCGTTACCCAAGTCGCCGGCGAAGATGCGGAAGTCATCTGCAGAGAACAGACAGAACGGCGGTTATAAAAGAAGTACATGAGTGTCATAGGTCAGTTTAGAGGGATAGCAGACATGACTCGTTAAGCACAGACTTAAGTTGCATTGTCATAATAATAGCATTATAATAGCATTGCAAAATAGCGATTTTTTTCTCAATAGGTCCGTACAGCCCTCCAGCATTAAGCGGTTGGCAAGGATGCCAACATTACAATGATCCATCAGTATTGATGAATAAGTCTTAGGTTTTTTTTCTTCACGCTTTAGCACTTCTTCAATTCGTCGAGAGTTCTGCGATCAGTTTACGAACAGTGCCAGAAAGGCGGGCACCAAACCAGTTGAATGTTTCGAAAGATTTACAACAAGTTGCGAATCATGTGGACTGTTTACAATGAAAAAGTAGCCAGAGACAGTGTGCAATATCATTCTGCGCACAGTGCCGATTACGTACTAAATTCCCCGCTAAAACGTTCTCCACACCCCACTCACCCTGGTCCCAGTCATGCAGGGAGCGGTCCTCCCAGATCTGACCACCGGCCGTGCGGATGAACTTCTTCGGTCGCTTCTGTTTCTGTTGTTTGCCCTGCTTTCCCCCGTGCTGGTGACCGCTGCCGCCGCTGCCGCCGGGTTTACTGCCGTCCACCACAGTCGTGGTACTGGAGGCCACCCGTTCAGCCATCGCCGCCGCTTTGGACTTCTTTGACGAGCCGCCGGCGGAGGCAGCAGAGGGCGAGGGTTTGGCGTCGGCGGCGGCGGCCGGAGAGGCAGCGGGCTCCTCCTCGGCGGGCGCGGGCCGCTTCAGCTGAGGTTTGGAGGCGTATACCTTGGGCCCGGAGCTGGGGGACGAGATGGCGGGTCAAAGGGACGCTGGTAACAGGACAAAGTACCCTGGGGACTACACAAACCTTCGGCCCGGAGCTGGGGACGTGATAAAGGGTCAACACTCAACAGGACGCCGCGCTGAAACGCTCTGTGTATCACTATGCTGGTATCATACGTTAGACAAACACACGAATTAAAGTTGTAAGCAGCCAATGAGCATCAACTAACCTCAACGCTTAACGTCACGCGTGACGCAGCGTTGAAAAAAGATGAGGATACCTATCACTGACCAGTGACCAGCACACCTCCTGTCATGACCTATTCATAAACATCCATTCAGTCCCAACCACGCCCACCCCCTTGCCTGTACCCAGCAAGGACACACCCCTCCATCTTCCCCTCACCTGATGACAGGTGCCGAGATGACAGGTCGCGGCGGCGCCGGGCCCCTCCAGCCGGGCGGCGGGCCGGGGCCGCGCACATAGCCCGGAGGCGGTGGCACGAATCCGCCCGGCGGGCCCATGCCCGGCCCGGGCCCGTAGTGGTGCGGCACGTAGCCGGGTGGAGGAGGCGGCGGGGGCGGGGGCGGAGGGGGCGGAGGAGCCGCGCCACCCACCGCGGTCACCGGCGGACCTCCAATCTCTGGCAGCTCCGGCAGCGGAGGCGGCGGCGGAGGCGGGGGCAGCGGACCTGACGACGGCAGGTGGTGAGTTAGGTATTACATGTTAAATATTATAGACTCAGACAGACAGCTGCCACCCAACGCATCAGTGAGCAGCTGTTAGATGTGCAGTTAAAGTCGGTGCAGTAGCCTACTAACATTACGTCAAAGCTCAGAGACTGACCTGACGGTTTGCTAAGCTGGTGAGGTACGAACATATTGGCCGGCCTAGGTGGCGCTGCGGCAGCCACTGCACCACCGTAGCCCTCCGAAGCTATTTGTGTGAGCTTATCCTGAACCTGTCAAAACAAGGATGTGGAGTCAATATCTCATGAGTCCATGTTGCAATAAATTACTATGCATCAACCGCAGTTCTGTAGACAATGACATGGCTCAAATGTGGATGAAAACCTGTGCCCAATTGCTCCCCATATTACGATAAAGTTGTAATACCTCTCCTAAGACGATGCGGGAGGCGTTATCCCCAAAGGCGGTCATCAGACCTCGCCTCATGAAATATCATCTAAGGAAAAGGCGCACCTTATCATCTGCCTTTTATTCTATGTATAGGCATGTTGTTCAAATATATCTTAGCTAGTTAATCAGCTAACTAGCTCATTTAGCACAGCAGCAGAACAGTCTGTCGCCGCCCGAGGCGCAGCTGGCCGCCACTCACCGAGGTGAAGGTGTTGGCGGCGATGACTGGCGGCCGTGGCTCGGCAGAGACGACCTCCGGGGCCACGGCAACACCGGCGCCGCCGCCGATCTGCTGCTCGAACCTGACACAGACAGGCAACACAGGAAAATCAGACATGGGAAATGGGAAATGGGAACAAAGAGGGGAATAGGAAATTGCCCAATCCTACCACTGTGGAAAGGGAACACATAAAACAGCACTGAATGCAATTACCTGAGTCATCAGTGATCAGCGATTAGACATCATGGAAATGAACAGGTAATGCACCAGAGCTCAAAGGTGACTGACACATGCATGTAGCAAAAAATGTGTGGCAAGATTTTATAAATAGCAAAAGAAAGCACCCATCATGATCACAAGCCATTTCCCAGTAGTCTCCAAGCTGTGTTGAAAACACAAGTGCATGTGTTGTTATACTCACATGTTCATCTCTGCCTCCAACATTCCCTGACCAGTATCCATTGTGGCTTGGAGTGGTCACAGACAAACTCAGATGCTGGAAGACAGTGTGTTATCATCAGCATTTTATGTTCGCTTGAATAGGTGCAACAAAGACAAAGAAACACTTTTCTGGACAAATAAGGCAAAGAAAACAAATAAAAAGTGTACAAGTGTTGCTGGTAACATAAGTGAGTCAGGTAAGATGACTTTGAATGATGTATTACCTACCTACATAATAAGAATACACCTTTTACTTTTAAAAGGAATATAACACTTTCCTGAAATTAGTTTTTTTTTTGCTAGTTAAAATGATCAGAAAAGAAATGATAAATATCTTTATCTAAAAAAGGAAAATTATCATTTTTTGTAGGAAGAACATTTTTCATCTTTAATGCAGGCTATAAAGTGTTTGGAGCAGAATTCTATTTACACACTGACCCATCACATTACCTAGTTCAGTTCAAAAATATATATTTTTGATGCCTAACCCAGGCTTTTGTCATTAGTGTAGCTCATATTCCTACTAGGTGCTACACACTTCACTTTACACACTGCACTGTGGTACTGAGCGTTTTCAGCACCTGCCAAGCAGGCCAGTCTTGCCCACATGCTTCCTGTCCTGTCATTCAGTGTACCCCAGGTTGCACTGGTGTGCACGCTGGGGCACCTGTGTGCAGTGTGCACGCTGTTGAATGTCTTGTCATTGATACTTTTCTGTTATTATGATTTCTAGGCATATAACAGTGCTGCAATTGCAATGAACACATCTTGTAATGGTAACATTCTTCTCTAAAAAACAAAAATTGTATGGCAAATGAATCTTATGCCAAGCTAGAAAACTAATTAGGATTCATAATTTGGTACCTATGGCTATGTCTTTCCTGCCTCTTGTCTCTCGACATGAGTTGAACATTATATGTTAATTGTTACTAATCCAGCTCATGTAAGCTGAAGCATAACAACAAATAATGACTAACTTGTCAAAAAGAGTACAATCCACTTAATACATTATCGGATAATAAACCCAGCCGCTTATGGTGGCCACTTGAGCTGGTTTGCTCACAGATTTCTCCATAGAAGCATAACTGACTCCAGTTAATAAAGCAGCCCCTTAATAAGTCCAAAACACTGTGTCACCAGGATGGATTTATTTAGTGGATTTTGCTGATATTTGTAAATAATAGCAAAGTGAAAATCAAGGAAAAGCAACATAATGACAAGCATAACGCTAGTGTAAATTTACAAGCCACTTATGTCCTCATTCATTCATGGTTGCAACATGACCAGAAAATGAAATATAAAATAGAATATCATACAAACAAAATGTTCAAAAACATAAAAAATTGCACAATACACGCCAAATCAAAACTTCGAACAGATTACCTACAAATTATCAGTAGTCACTTAACAGGCAAAACACTTCTGCAAATCAATGAAAAAAAAGAATGCAATGAAATCAAAATAAAATTATCTCCAATGCAACTGATTCCGTGTCAATGTTGTCAGTGGTGTCCAACAAAAGCACAAGAACAAGAAGTACTGCTAGCCTAACCTCAAATACAATACCTGAAGTTTTATGTAAGCATTTACCAGAAATTGCGGGGTAACAAGGCTAAAAGCAAGGTCAAAAACGATATGAATATAATACGAAATTCAAAACGCAGAAAAAACGTTTCAGTGTTTTGTGCGCCGCGGCTGCAGCTTAGGCGTTTCGCCATATTTGTCGCATAAACCTCAGAAGTGTCTTTTGTTCATTTGCTGCCATTTCTGAAATTTTTGCAACGATATTAAGGTTTCCTTTACAGCAGTAGCAAAAAAAAACGCATTTCTCAGGGTGGGGGTCGAACGGACGTCCCCCTCCTCGGTTTTTCGCGAATAACGCGCGAAAAAAGCGGCTGATCTCGACGAAACTTTCAGTACCCTAGAGTCAATCAATTTTACACATGCCCTGAAAATGTCATGACCCAATTACCTTTGACCTGTGACCTATTTCTCGAGACCTTGTTCGGCGGAATCATCGCGATTCGGCGTGTGTCGGCTCATATTGATCTTCGCAGTCCGAACGTTTGCAGTCTTTTCGTGTTTTAAGCGTTCATACCTTAGCCGTCAAACATGGGAATGGATGGCAGCAACGTTTTAACCCTCGCTGAACCTATCGGTTTTCTACATACGCGCCGGCCGAGGGGGGGGGGGGGGCGGGTAGGTACGAACCCCCTCGCCGTTTCGCCTCTGGTAGAGCTAAAGCGTCGCGTAAAAAACAAGCGTGTGCGCCGTTACGAGACGCAGAGAGCCAGAGATTGATACCCGATTTTAAGGTCCTAGGTCAACCGGTGACCTCTGAGGTCAGGTCAAGTGCCCCAAGGTACGGTTCCGTTTTTGGTGAATTCCTTCGCAAAAAACGGCTGCAGAGCCGCGATTTTGGCAGCATCATGTTCGCCTCGCTCAGGCGCGTCGAATGATATACTTTTTATTTGGGTGAGGTCAACTTAGGGTGTTGACCTCAGATCACGGGTCAGCACCCCCAGGTCACGAAATTGGTCGAAATAGGTCATGTCGCATATCATTCGATTCGGCAGGTCTTCTTGAGTCCATTGGTGGCTTTTCCGACTCGCTAACTCAATTTGATCGGGAGTTAATGGCTAAAAACTACTAAGACCCTAATGACGTCATAATTGACGTCACGCAAGGTCAACATTGCAAACATAACGCATTTAACCTTGCAAGGAGTGCACTAAATCACGATTCTGTATGCTTGAGATAGTTGGAGATCGTTCCCGGCGCCAGAATAGCAGTTTTTATTTTTCCCCATTGACTTATAATGGTGAGGTCACGAAAATGACCCGACCTCATATGACCTTTAGGAAAAATTCGAGATATGCAAGCTGTGAGAATCCTAATGGATACTAGGTTCTGCAAGTTTCATTTCCCTGTGAAGGCTTCTCTGGCAGTGAGGGCGTTGCGAAGTTGTGACATCTGAAGACCGTGCAGAGGTTCACTTATGACGTCATAGGTCAGTTACCTGACCTGACCGGAAAATGCAGTTAGTGTCACAAGATTTAACTTGAATCAATGGTCAGGTATGCCAATTTTCAGCTTTCTATCACTCGCGTGGTCGGAGCTATCGCGAAAAAAACCCTATGGGGTGGTGGGCGGCACCCGCCCCCACCCCCTCGGCCGGCGAGGGTTAAATTTGTTCCACTCATTAGTCATATTGTTCCTTGGATATATGCCTAAATATACCTTCCTACCTCACCTTGATCGTTAAAAATTACAAAAACGTGTTACCAAGTAATATCTTCATTTATTGTTTGCATTCGTTTGTGCCACGCCAGTTATTATATTTACCTACCATACCTATACCTACCACATAAAGAAGTCATCGTATGGGCTCCATATCAAAGCATACAAAATCCTATCATACAATCATCAAAACATACAAAATCGTAACATACAACGCGCAAAACCTACAAAACAGGCCGGGTAGGGGACAGTCAAAACATACAAAAGCGCAGCATACAAAATCGTGTCATACAAAATCGCAAGGTACAAAATCGTTTCACACAAAAAGGCAGTGGAAAATTAATGGCATTAATCAAAGTAAGCATCATACAAAACCATTTCATATAAATTTACATCATTTCGTCGTCCTTGAGATGTCAATTTTCAGTTGGATCAAAACCTACAATCTCAACTGCGCTTCAAGCGACATCTTTGAAAGAAGTTTGTGTAGTTACGAAATATTCCACTAGATGCCTCCTCTGTCAAAGCACAGCCAAGCTTTGCACGGCCAGCGTTTTTTGCTTGTTTATACAGTGAGCGCCGGTCTCGGAGCGACGGGGCGTCCCGGTGGCGCCGTCGTCCCCCTCCCTCAGACTGGGCAAGGTCTCCCCTCCCTCGGCAGACGGCGCGGTCCCAGAGGAAACGGCCAAGGCCGTGCCTGACTTACATCCCCGCTCTCTGCGGGCCGGAGAACGAAGTTGCGCTTGGTACATTGAGCAGCATTCTGCTCATTTTGACCATAGCTGCCGGAACATAATTCGTAACTTAAATAATTTAACTGACTTAACCCTCGCCCGTATAGGGGGGGGGGGGTCGAACGGACCCCCACCCCCATGGTTTTTCGCGAATAACTCGCGTAAAAAGCGGTTGATCGCGATGAGACTTTCAAAACTGTCGAGTCAATCAATTGTACACTTACCCTTAAAAGTTCATGACCCTGTCCCATATAAACCTTGACCTGTGGACTATTTTTCGAGACCATGTTTGGCCGGGATCGCGATTCGGCGTATGTTGGCTCGTATTAGCCGTGCGTTTGCAGTATTTTTGCGGTTTCAAGCGTCCAAACATGTGATATGATGTTGGTCCCAGGCATTATGGTGGGTGTCAAGGTCACCTGAAGGTCAGGTCAGATCATTGACCTTTGATGACCTAGGTTCACTTCTTCGAGTTTTACATGTTTCTAGGCTACTTTTTGGAGCTGATTTCAAATTAAGCAACCATTTCAGCATTTACGAAGTTGTTTTGGTGTCTTCGTTACATGTTACGAAGCTGTCAGTAACGGCTGACACGTACTATGAATACCTGGCAGGACGTCTACTGATTGGCCTGACCTGACCTGGCCTAAATGCATTAAGGGGGGCGGTCCAACGGACCCGCCCCCCCCCCCCCCCCCGCCCCTATACGTTCGAGGCTGGCAAAACATCAATACGGGCGAGGGTTAACCCGGCAGTTGCTGGAGTATTTCGCCACACACCACTTGCTGGCTAGGGGTGGGAGGGGGGGGGGGGGGGTAAACTTTCCCAGCCCATAGCTCGAGAACCCATAGCCCATAGCCCATAGCTCGAGGTGCAGCGAAACGGGCGAGGCAGCAAACAAAATAACGCTACGAGAGGCTTCTGATGAGTACCTTCAAGTGGAGTTTCGAGGTCACAGGTCGGTTCAAGATTATTTTAAATACCTGAAATTAGGCTTTTAATAGCATGGAATTTAAACCTCGAACTGGGCGTCTCTCGTAACAAACTATGTCTCCAAGGGAGCCCCCCCCCCCATATACGTTCGCGGCTGGCAAAACACCAGTACGGGCGAGGATTAAGGACTTATTTGTTTGTATGCTCTTTGAAACTCCTTCCGTGACCGCGTTTTCAGCCGCTAGCATATAATTAGGGGGGGGGGGGGAATTCTGTTGGATCCCCAATCGTTCAGTCCCTAACCGAACTATAGCTTCGCGAAAACATGAACGTCCTACCGTAACTAAAGGAAGCCGATGATACCCGATTTTAAGATCGCCGGTCATTAGTTGGCATTTCAATTCGGGTAAATGACTTAAAAGTCAGGGAAATCGTGGCCTATTTTAACTTTTTAAAATGAGGTTGTTAGTGAGTTTTTTCGGGGTTCTGATTTCGAATTTCGTGCTAGTTTTGATCTAAGACGATGTATTGGGTAGGTGGGGTCAGGTCAGCTCAACCATTACGCGTCACCGCCGACATCCAAATGGGTGTTTACCGCCACCAACAGCTTAGTTACACATAAAGATATGATGTGGACTGTGGAGTTTGTTAATGCAATAAGTGAATGAGAGCTTCACTCCACAAGAAATCGTTCGGGTCAGAGCTTTCAAATCGTATTTACAAAACTTCGTCAGCGAGTCGTAATCGGGTTCAGGGGGTATCGGTCGCAAAATATGTAGCATAGACACTAAAACTGTTTCTTACAATGCACTATGGGACCGGAGCGAGAATTAGCGCGACATCGGTACTTTTTCGTGTTTCGTGCCCGCTTTTCACATGAAAGGGATGATAGAATCATACAAATGGTAGTCGGTGTACTTTCGAAGCAATTCCTGATAAATTTAATTAAATAATCATTAGTCATTTAATTAATTAATTAACCCTCGCCGGACCTATTGGTTTTCTACATACGCGCCGGCCGAGGGGGGGGGGGGCCGGGTACGACCCCCCCCCCTCACCGTTTCGCCCCTGGTGGAGCTAGCGCGTCGCAGAAAAAACGAGCGTGTGCGCCGTTACAAGACGCAGAGATTGGTACCCGATTTTAAGGTCCTAGGTCAACCGGTGACCTCTGAGGTCAGGTCAAGTGCCCCAGGGTACGGTTCAGTTTTTGGTGGATAACTTCGCAAAAAACGGCCGCAGAGCCGCGATTTTGGCAGCATCGTGTTCGCCTCGCTTAGGCGCGTCGAATGATATAACTT